CGAGCGTTCACAGCCTTAGTAATCAGAGAAAACACGTGCAATGCAGGACAAAAATCTCACAGCTTGGGCAGTTTTACTACGCAGAAGTGTGTGTTTTTAAATGCTGTGGGGCAGCAGTGGTGTAAGAAGGTATTTCATAAGAAGACAGTGAGCTCTTGTTGTGGGTGTTGGGACCTCACACCATGGGAAAACTGAGCATGGGAGGAGGCCACCAAGCGGTGTTCATCTCAGCTTAACAGTTAGGCCGAAGAGCCTAGTGTTTCAGATATGCTCCTTGTTGATTGTAGGATCTTCAGCACCCAAACGAGTTCATCCGTGGCTCCACGCTGCGGTTCCTGTGCAAGCTGAAGGAGGCGGAGCTGCTGGAGCCCCTGATGCCGGCCATCCGCGCCTGCCTGGAGCACCGCCACAGCTACGTGCGCAGGAACGCCGTCCTGGCCATCTACACCATCTACAGGTGGGGCCAGGGGCCCGCCCAGGCCTGCACGCAGGGGACAGAGGCTGGCTTTAGTCTTCTGGGCAGCTGTTGAGCTCTCACAGACATTTAGCACTCATTGCTGTGGTGGTTGGGGGATTTTTTTGGGTTTGTTTGCTTGCTTTTTTTTACCCCTGTATCTAATGGACTTCTTTGGAAAAGCAAAAGGTGCTGCTGCTGCTTTCTCAAGTATGGCTGAGGTCCTTCTATTGCAGGCTAATTTGCATGGGCAAATGCCTTTCTTAATGAGCTAAATGTTTTTAACTGGAATCAGTGTCCAGAAGCACAAATAGAGAAGAATCCTTGCAAGAATATGCATATATAAACTTAATTGAAGCAAGTCATTCTTCACGTATTGCAGTTATATACTAAACATTACTGCAATTGTTACCTGAGCAGTGTGACTGAAGGTTACTGTTAAACAGAAATCATTGATTGGCCAATTAGTCTTAGCTGTCGTGATAACAATTTTTTGAAGCTCCTTGAGTCTGTTCACAGTTTCAAATTGCTGCACAAGTTATCTGTCACTGTTGCATGCTCTTTGACTTTTTGTAAATGCTTGTCTTTAGGCTGTGTGCTTAAGTCTTAGGTGCTGCTCCTTACCAGTAGTTCTTTTAATTATGAGGGGTTTTTGTTTTAAAGAAATTTTGAACATCTTATACCTGATGCTCCTGAACTGATCCATGATTTCTTGGTGAATGAGAAAGATGCAAGCTGTAAAAGAAATGCATTTATGATGCTAATTCATGCAGATCAGGTAAGGATACTTGTCCTCAGACTCATTTGATTTAAGTACTTGGTAATGTGCTGGGTAACTAGCCAGTAGTTGGTTGGTGGTATAAATTATTTATCTTCATAAAAAGATTTATATGGTAGTGTTAACCCATTTGTGGAATATTTGGTAACTGAAAAAGTTGAAGTAGGTGTTTAGTGCCATCTTCACTTTAAAGGAGAATTACTGTATTTAGTGAAGGCTTGTGCTGGTGCTGAAAACTGCAATTAGTGTTGTCAAGTGAGCTTAACCAGACCAAGAAGCACCCCGTCTTCTCCTGGTTTATAGCTTTTGTAGTCACAGGAGAAAGGCATGGCAATTTCTGTTTTGGAAATTTTGGCTTTTGGAAAATTTGTTTTAGCATTTTGGATTTTTTGCTCTACAGGCAATCCTCTTTTGAGCCTGATTACCATTAGTTTTGGCTCACTCTTTTTGCCATCTATAGGCAGAATGGATGAATTTGTGCTTCAGGTTTACAGTGTTTTCATAAATTGTTTAAAATTCCAGGTTAAAGGGTTGAATATATACTGTTTTGTGTTTTGATGTTTAAAATGTGTTCTGATGGAAAATATAGCTGGGTGAGCCAACTCAGAATAATTTAGAGTAATTTGTCTTTTATTTGTGTAGGATCGAGCTTTGGATTATTTGAGTACCTGTATTGACCAAGTCCAGACATTTGGTGACATACTGCAGTTGGTTATTGTGGAACTAATTTATAAGGTAAAGGGGAAATGTGGCACGTTTTAACTAAATGTACATGCTAGATCATATCAGACTGCTTTTTAAAAGGGTTAGAACATTGCTGGAGAAGGCATTCTAGCTAGCATTTAGTCCATGTCAGGAATATGTCATTGCTAGTAGAGCTAAAGAAGATTTATCTCTTGAAACAATGAACTGCTCAAGTGTGTACAGTGTAGAGCAGTCACCTAATTTCCTGTGGTGTGGGCTGTGTATTAGCAGACTGTTCTTCATGGCCATGAGCAGGGCATCTGTTACAGAAACTACTGCAGAGTCTATACCCTTCCTGTTGATGTGAGATTTTCAGACCTTGTGGCATTGCATGGAATTGCCAGTAGCAGCCTTTTAGTAGCTTTTGGGATTGCATTTTTACAACTGTGAATGATGCTTCCTGTCCCCAGGAAAGGCTGTCACCTTTTGTGTCATTTTCTCCTCGTTTTAAGGCAATGGAGCAGTTAAGCTGTACAACTGCTGTTTTCCTTTTTTGTGTGACATATGCATTGTTCTTGTCTAGGTCTGTCATGCAAATCCATCAGAGAGAGCTCGGTTTATTCGCTGCATCTACAATTTACTGCAGTCCTCAAGTCCTGCAGTGAAATATGAAGCTGCAGGTACTCTGGTAACACTCTCCAGTGCACCAACAGCAATTAAGGTAGGAAAGTGGTGTTTTCAGATGTTTCAGTAGCTTTTAGTGCCCCGGAATAAATACTGTATGCTGTACATTGATACTTTGAAAGAGTGAAGGCTTTAGTAATGTGGGGTGTTCCACACTTCACATGTGAAACACTGCCTTAACATAGCTCTTAAAAATGGTTAGCAAAAAAAGACCAAGTCTGTTTTACAGACTTGTAGCTTGTGGACTTCATGTCCCTTTGGTAGGGGATGAGCTTGAATACTGTGCAGACTGTTGTAGAATGGTTGGTACCAACCTGCAGTCTTCTTGGCATGCTTAGCAGAGCAAACTAAAGCTGAAGATTTGCAGAGATGGAATGATTTTCTTTACTCATAAATATTAGTCTTTTCAGACCAGGGTGGAAGCATGAGGTAGTGAAGATTTACATTGATTATTGATTTGCCTTGGGTTTCCAGATTTGTTTGTACAGATGATATTTGAGATCACACAGAAATTTAGAACTTGAATGAAAATTTCAAAAATAGAATACGCGAGTTCAGATGTAGAGTAAAAACATTGTAGATAGTAGTTTGAAAAGATCAAGAGGAGTATGCATTCCAACATTCTTACTTTAGCTTAGTC